TGCTGGCCAAGCTCTCTGCATACCTGGAATACACGTGTTCATTAGAATAGGGCCCACATTTCCCTGAGGTTATCATGGAGGCACTGGAGCTGCTGTAGAACACACTAAAGATCTCCATTCCCTCATCTTCCTCTTCCAACATGTACTCCATGACAAACAGCAACTAAAAATGCCTTTCTTACATTTTTAGTTGCTGTCATGTCAGAACTCTCCTAACCTTGGTTTAGAGTAAAACTGCAAACAGCATTCTAATAATGGCAGTGCTGAAACTGACTGGGTAGGTAGACTTCATACAGCTGTTGCCGGACGCAGGGTCTCAGGTTGGGTCAGCGGTGCAGCAGGCCGGGACTCTCTGGGGAGGCAGTTTCGCTCACCTCGTGGCCTCTCGGCTGAGCTTGCTGCTCAGTTTCAGAGGCGGGGCCTGGTGTTGCCTCCGGTACTCATTGTGGCTCCTCAGGACCTCTTCGGCAAACTGCTTGGAGGCTGCAGAAGACGGGGAGAATATTCATGTTACAACAAATTCTGCCCTGTAAAGGCTGCCCTGTGCTCTCTATGGCCAAATACTGAGCCACATAGCACTGTACGGGAGGCCACTTCTTATGCTTCCTTCTTGTCTCAACCAAAACACCTCATCTTCATTTGTCCTCCTATGGTGTACTTTTCATCTACAGACATGTGCAGATCTCTCTGGTTCTGTGTGTTTTCATGTTGTTGTTCGCACATTTTATTCAGTTCTCTCTGAAGGGCAAAATCAGGGAATGCCATTCCAAACTGGTAGAATGTCAATATGACATGTACTGCTGGGATTCCAGTCTGCTGGAGCCCAACCTGTACAATGAGAACTGGATGTGCCTGCAGCCAGCCAAGATACTGCTGTGAACCCCTGATATACAGTCTGCAGAAAACTGGACAAACATTTGCACTGCAACAATAAAACTCCTCTGATGGGAATGCAAGATGCTTGTCTTTAAACAGTCTTCTGGAAAATTTCAGCACCTCAACATAATGACTTATGTACCGGCATCAATAGGGAGATACACTGCATTTGATGCTCAGCATACAGCTCATCCTGTTGAGGCAAAATGCAATACAAATGGAAAAAATGTGTCTGTCGTACACTGGCAAAATTGCCTAGGTGGGAGTCACATCAAAACAATTAAAAAGGAAAACTAAACGTCTGGTAATCTATTCAAAATGGCAATACATGATGACACTGGGCAAACAGGTGAAAACTGGAGTGCTTTATTAACAGTCAGAATAGACTGGCTTGTCATTCCTTTTGCATCAGGGCATTTCTTCATCTATCTATTCACTCTTTTTTCCATGATTAACACTAAGCATTGAGAGACGACTCAACCAATCACATCTAGCACATCCGCACGTGCACCTCACTTCAACATGAGCTAGCACACTGACTCACTTACATGCCACTTAACCACAATATGGGCGTAAAAAAAAACAACGACAATGTTATGGCAACATACTTGAACGGTGACCCTGATTCCATGACCCCTTCTGAAGAAAGTGGATACTGTACTGCACTTAGCCATATTAAACATACAGTATATTATATTTATAAATCTAACCAAGTAATATATTTATTATAAATAAATATAAATGATCCTCACACGCACTCACCCATCACTGAGTTGCCTTACCACTAACCCAATGACTAACTGTTAATTATCAAACACCAAACTAAATCATTAGTCATTTGGCAAATACATAAGAGATCACACACCCGAGGAAGCACTTCAATGGCTCAGAATATGCATCATACTTGGATATAACCTGCTTCCTATGCAACAGTATGTATCTATATAATATCACAGGAGCTAAATTCCGCTAATTAATTACTTTTTTTAGCTTATACAAAAAGACAGGTTCTAAGCTTCATGGAGTGAAGCATGTACTAAAGATGTTTTGAATGGCCATCCCCTCTCGGGATTTCCTGCAGTCACATGTCCTGGCCCTAATCCATGGCCGAAACGACAATGAGCGATTGTGTCATTTTGATGCAGTCAGAATCACGCGGTGGTTTCCGCTGGTCTTAGCACCCTTTGTTAGCGCACGTGTGTGGTAACACGGCCTCTGGGGGACCCGAGGAGCCAGGGATCCCACGGTATGGGGGCCTGGTGCGAAACAAAAATGAGCCCCTAGCCCCTGCGGCTGCCACCGCGGATCAGCGGTCGGTGCCAGGCCACAACCCCGGTCACCTCACCGTGGAAACGAGCGCCGGGCCACGTCGCTGTGGCAGAGATCGACCGCACACCCACGGTGAAATTGAGGAAATAATTGCGCGCGAACCAAAGGGCCGACTCCAACCCTCTCATTTTCCATTTTTATCTCAGAGGCATTCTGGAGCATGAAATTGTGGGCTCCACTCGACAGGGCAAAATAATGAAACCGGGTCTCTTTTCTTTTTTTATCTCCAGATTCCACAAGACGTGTTTGTTTTCTTCCTCTGAAAAATAACGGAATCGAAAACCTAATTTTGAAAGACTTGTCTCTCACTGCCACCCCAATCTACCTGTGTGTGGCCTGCTGGAAGTGAGACGTATCTGTTAGGAGGGCTACAAAGAGAGGCTTGTGCTGGGACCAGGCCTGGAAGTGCTGCACGTCCTAATACTCAACACTGTGGAGCTAAACACACATTATATTTGTAACACGGCTGCATGTGATTGGGCCATATGCATACAGATCCAGTGCCAGCTTCATTTATAAACATCACCCTTGGGAGGAAACCTGACACCAGCGACCCTGTCATAGAGAACATTATAAAACGGGACTTCCTGTAAATAGCGGGCTTATGGTATGCCCCCTCTGCCCTCCCCCCACACCAGGCCAGAAGTAGTCATCAGTCCCAGTCCCTGGGAGGGGAGGGGTACCACAGACTGTGACTCATCTTTTCAGAGCTGAGATTCTCTCTCTTTTACATTAACACAATTCCAACAGCAGCTGGGATGCCTCTCCCTCTCTCTCCCTCTCTCTCTCTCTCTCTCTCTCTCTCTCTCTCTCTCTCTCACACACACACACACACACACACACACACACACACACACACACACACACACACACACACAAGGGCTGGCCAGTAAGCTGAATAAAGGGATCTCCTCAGGAATCCCCCTGTACCCCTGAAAAGGGTTCTATTAACCTTCAGAATAATGCAGACATCTCATTGTGACAAAATACTAAAATGGAATAGTCACACACTGAGATAAGAACAGGTTAGTTGCAACCAGCTGAACATGACATGAGTCCTTAGTCACATCTTTGCAATATGATCAGTGCAATGGCTTCTTTCTGGTGTTGCAATTAACAGACAGTAACAGAAAGCCTAGCGAACATGACACATCTGTATGATGACACTTACATTTCCTTACATTTCCTTACAAAAAGTAAAAAAGCTATTGTCATTACACCAGTAATCATTTAATGTCTCTTACTTACAACAACGGCAGAATAAAAAATACATTATATATAAATTTTGCAATAAGTATACCATTGTATATTGGCCCTCAAGGTCCAAAAATGCAATATTCCATAGTAAAATAGGTTTTTAATGAACATTGTTACTGCCCTAATGAGTACAGCAGGGCCTGTTTGAGGATCATGGCATTAGTCCAGCACCACGCCATCCCTTCATACAGCGTATTCACACAATGAAAGAAATCATTCATTCAGACTGGGCACGTCCTGACACACTAAACTGAGAGTACCCTGGCAAGCCTAGCACAGGCACAGCTGCTCCATATATTACCACACACACACAATTATTTATGGCTCGAATAGTTAGTGCTAACAGTTGGCAATGGCAGAGATCAAATGCACTGTTTTACAAAGTTAAATAAGCGTGTGACAAATGCAAGAGTTCAGGGCCAGAGCCTTTGTTGCATGTTAAAACAGAGCAGGCCAGCAGCAAGGAAGAACAGAACAGACACATGTTAAACGCTGAGATGTTTAAACTCTTACCTGACTTGCCCATTGTGTTGAGAAAATCGTCCGCCTTTTGTTCTTGCGTGGGGCTCTCCCTTAACTTCACTATTTCAACTGCTCTGCTTCTGCCCTTTCCTTCTCTTTCTCTCTCTCACACACACGCATAGACACACACACACACACTCCCTGTCTGTTTCTCTCGCTCTGGTTCACAGGCACTCTATCTTCCTTCCTTCTTTCTATCTCTGTGACACACACACTCTCTCTCTCTCTCTCTCTTTCTGCCAATCCCTCCCTCTCCGGGACACACCCTCCCTGTTCTTAAACTCTGCGCTCGCTGAAAGGAGTGAACCGAGAACCCCACGGGCTGCCACTTTCATGACATCACTGCTCAGGGCCCGCCAGGCCTTATAAGGGATTGAGATTCCTTCTTTCTCTGGAAACTGTGAGCTGTAACCCGGTGCTAGATGTGTTCCCGGGCCCCTAGAGCTGCTTTTTGTAAACTCTGGCCTTAAAGTTGCAGCAGCGTTAATCACTCTCTCCTGGGAAGCCTATCAACAGCCTCCACGGGGTTATGTGTCACAGTGCCTCAAGCTCCCATCTGTCTTGGGGTCAGTGAGAGAAGAGCAAGCTGATTTTCCTTCCAAGGCTAATAAAGCTTGTTTGCATATTCGCAATTGCGTTTGAACAAGCATACAAATGTTGAAAACATCCAGCATCTGACATTGCCTTACGTAGCATCTGACTTATAACATCTGACTGCTGAGCACTGTGTCTCTACCTGCAGTCTTCATTCACAGCATTGTCAGCAGTTTTATCAGGGTAACAAGCAGTTTACTTGCTCTTTTCATGCAATACACACTCATCAGTTCTGGCCTTAACATGTCACATGGGGCTTTCTGGACCAATCACAGCTGTGATGGGGAAATCAGCCTTTGAGAATCTTGGGTGTGTTGCTTTCCCTTTGCAGGCCTCTGGTTGGTGTAACCTCTGCATGTGACACCCCCTTTTCCCTGGGTGTTTTCATTGTACAACCTGGTAGGGACCACACAGTTGTGCCAGGTTCCATAGCTTGGTGGTTAGAGTACTGCTCTTGTAAGTGAAGGGGTGTGAGTTCAATCCTCACTGCAGCCTGCACAAACCTGTTGTGCTTTTGGAGAGATTGTTTGAACTGTCACATTAACTCATTTCATAAACACCCTGGTGCTATCAGTGTCAGAAACAAACTTCCCAGCACAAATTAAGAAACAACTGATTAGTTCTGATCCTTCCAGCTGAAGTAGAGAGGCACTGTGATACACATAAATCAAGGCCACAAAATCAACCAGGGAAACATGAGGTTAACACGCCTGCCATTACTACTGACACGTCTTGAAATCACGGGAGCTTATGGAGGCCTGAGGATGTCTATAGTCTCTCTAGTTACTACGCAACTTCAGCACAAATAAACCCTGGGACACCCAATCCACCGAGTTATGTGAATTTTGAGAACAACAAATCTTTTTGAACTAATCTTTTCCATATACTGTATGCACTTTGTCACCATTCTAAAAGATTTGTTCCACTGAGTCACCAGTTAGGCACCCCCAAATTCTTTGAGCGACCTCTACATGAACCTAGAGAAAACCACGAAACTGAGAATGATTAGCATGTGGAGGAAAGCATTAGAGTGGGGTGGTCTTCTGTCCAGCTGGTGTGTCAGAAGTATAATGTACAGCCATACCTCATGTAAAAGCCTCCAAGCACTCTAATGTTGAATTCAGTACAGCAAACAGCGCTAGAGTGATGATACAGTTCATTTCAAATCTGTCAGCAGCCAGTGACTATGCACTGTGAGTTAAAGATGAGAATCATGCAAGAGCTATGATGTAAAAAAATACATTACCACAATGCAATGGCATGCAATCTCATTTTTAACTGTTTGAAGTTATAGGGGGAAATTACATGAAGTTCCCACTGAACTGTTTATCTGCATTAAATGTCTACATGTCATTTATATGTCATCTTAATGGTGATAATTCTGCTAAAACTACAGCACATTATATGCCAGATAATTTACCATCCCATGCAAACAAGAACATCATCTTCCCCCATACATTAGTGGTTACAGCACCAGTTTTGCAGACTGTGGTTGATCCTCATTCAGGACCATGAGTAAATGGATTTTTGGACAGGTTGATTATGTCAGAACCCTTTGCAAGAGTGAGACCCACTTACTTGTCTGTATCAGCAGCAAAAAAATGAGAGTTTGATCACAAAACTGTTTTAGTAACTACAGTTATTCATCCATCCTCAAATTATTCCGGTTCTTTATGCCCATCTTTTAAAATAGATTTAAAAACCCTCTCGACTGAGGTGTGCCTCTGATGGTGTGCTCCTTGTAAAACCTGATTGGTCAGTACTCTACATGTCAAGCACTGTAAAGAACTGACTCTTAGCCTGAGATGTGACGATGCTATTGTGTTTGTGTGTATTGTGGGTGTGTTCGTTATAAACCAATGAAGTGAGATATATCTTGGCCATGTGACACTGGTTGACTATTATCCTGAGGCATGCTCACATTTTTGTCAAATTGCCTTGGGTGTGTTCTTCAAAATTCCCATAAGGAAAACCTGCTTTGTGCCTGGCTCCATAGCTCAGTGGTTAGAGCACTGGTCTTGTAAACCAGGGGTCGCGAGTTCAATCCTCGCTGGGGCCTTTGGGTGTCTGAAGCTCTTTTGCGGATGGAAGGAGGAAGCACAAATATCATACAGCCAAACTCCCCCTGAGCTAATCCCAGGTTATTGCCTTGGTATCAGTGTGGGAAAAGTTGACCATCTGTACCACAAGTGTACTAATGGCTTCCACAATCCATCTGGAAGGATAACTTTGGACAGAGCTGTTTCCAAGCCATGTTCCCCAGAGCATCTAAATAACTGGTCAGTTTCATGCATGTCCCACACCTGCTCCACAGGTCACAGCTCTGATAAAGCTCAGAGCGCTGACAGAAACCTTTTCCCCATTAGACAAAAGCCAACAGAATACAGTACATGGCCTTGGTGTGGGTTTGAGGACCTAACGCAAGAACTGAAGAACAGCATGTAGGACCCTCCAGATCTCTTCGCCAAGGTGATCCCCATCCACAGTTCCACATTCAGGGAGAAATGCTTTAGGCTTGCAACCCATAAAGGCTCAAAGGACAACCTCAAGCACCACATTTTTCCAAGCTGTGAGACTGAGAGTTGTGGCTGGGCAGGGCACCCAAAAAACCTGGAGAAAGAAGGGTGTGACCCCAGGTGTCACCCATCTACTCCATTATACCATATTTACCGTGTTGCAGGCACACCCATAGTTACTACAGGGACAGGAGCAGACTGCAGCCTGCATGAACTGTTTTCCTTGGGTGTGTTCTTCATAAAACCTGCAAGGTCACAAAAGCCTATGCCTGGCTCCATAGCTCAGTGGTTAGAGCACTGGTCTTGTAAACCAGGGGTCGTGAGTTCGATCCTCACTGGGGCCTTTAAGTGGCAGAAGCTTCTTTTTGGATGGACAGATGGAAGGACACAGCACAAATGTCATACAGCCGAATTCCCCCAGAGCCAATCTCAGGTTACTGCCCTAACATCAGGGTGGGAAAGGCTGACCATCCCCTTCCGCAATCCATTTTGTCTGCATTAGACAAAAGTTGACAGAATACAGTACAAAGGCTTGAATTGGGCCTGACAACCTATCACAAAGTACCCTGCGCTAAACAACACTACATGGAAGCCTACAGCTCTCTTTGCCAAGGTGATCCCCATCCAGGCAGAGGGCCTCATTCAAGAAGAGATACTTCAGGCTTACAGCCCATGAAGGCTCAAAGGAAGAAATTCAATCACAACATTTCTATAAGCCGGGACGCTGATAGCTTTGCCTGAGCATAGGTAGGGTACACAGAAAACCTGGAGAGAGAAGGGTGTGGCCCCATCTACTCAATTATAGCATATTTACTATGGTGCAGGCACACCCATTGTTCACAGGTGACTGCAGGGACGGGAGCACAGACTGCAGCCTGCATGAGCTGTTTTCCTTGGGTGTGTTCTTTATAAAACCTGCACGGTCACAAGCTGCTGTGCCCGGCTCCATAGCTCAGTGGTTAGAGCACTGGTCTTGTAAACCAGGGGTCGCGAGTTCAATCCTCGCTGGGGCCTTTAAGTGGCAGAAGCTTCTTTTTGGATGGACCCTTTTATTCACCTGTTGATTGTTAGCATCACATCACACAGAGACCCTGTGACTGTCTCTGTCTGAAGCAGATGTTCTCTGAATAGTCTGAAGAGAAAATGCAGGGTGGATAACCAAATTACTTCCGTTCAACTCAACCCCAGTGTTTCTAACATCCCATCTGTACTGTCATGAAGGCCATGCTGAGGAGGGGTATGGACTGAGCTTCATCACACATAAGCCAAGGCCACACAATCTGCCACAGGCCTGCAGGAAGCAGAAACTTTGAAAAAAGGAGGCTGATATGAGAACAATGATTTACAAAAATAATTGCATTTAAATCCCAGAGGTTATCCAAAGGAAGCAGAGAAGAAACAAGTTCTGTAACCCTTTATTGTTATGTTGACCATATCACAGTATAACAATGTTGTTATTATTTTTGGAACTACCTTTTAAATGCACATTATCCCTCTTTTCCATCCAACTTAAAATCTAAAATATAAGTTAAAATGAAAGCTAAAGTATCAATGGCAAAGCCAAAAGTCCTTGGACAAGAACTATGGAAAAAATTTTACACAATATTACATTATTTTGTCTGGGTTTTTAAGATGAAGCAACAGAAGGAGCCTTATTTAACTTGTAACAATTATTAAACTATACAGAGCCTTTGACTCCTGTAAAGATGGTTTGTTTTGGCAAAAACTTTGCTGTTCTTTTTCAGGCTCAGGCTTTACTATGAGCTCATCCACATGTACCGGCACCCATGGGCATGTCATATGGTGGGGAGACAACCAGAGAGAGTGGGCAACATAAGCCACTCATTGTGAAGGGGTGGAATCCCAAAACTCAGCTGTCACAGAGTACCCAGGAACGTGAGTAAATGCACGAGAGGCATGAAAAGAAACAGCAGACAGCAGAACCACATATTCGCATGTTTTGACTTGGTAGATGAAACAGATAAATAGCTTGTGATTTGGCTGCGTCAATACGTGGAAATAGAAATCCCTGAGGTCCATTATATTGAACCAATACACTTTGGCAACTAGAACCATCTTGAATCGTTGACTGAACACAAAAGTTCTGACCTGTAACTCATTGGCCTCTGCCTCGAGGGTTATCTTGTCCTACCTGGGCTTTCCTGTGTGAATTTCCTCAAGGTCTGCACAGGGAAGGAGACCATCCATCTGTTTTTGGCTACCCCAACAGCCAACAGCAGTGAGGTCTGCATCTCGTGTAACTGAGCATGTCCCACTCCACTTGCTTCTCTATGAATCTTCTCAGTGTGTCAAGGGTGTCTGAATTAAAAATATGTAGGTTGAAGCTATGGGTTGCTGCATTGCATCCATCTCAAATCCTTGAGATCACCTATTCTGAGTGAGACAAATGTACACTGCAGTGAACAAAATGAAAGTCAAGGCCTGACCAACAGCTAGTCCACTACCTTTAGCCAGATGCACCTCCACCTCTACAATTCTCTGGAATTCTTGTACGAGTTCAGGAAATGAACTGGGGAATAGAGATTTCAGGAAATCTGACTGATAGAGCACAAGCGAGCACACACAACCAGAATGGAGGCAATTTTCTGTAGAAAGTTATCAGCCGCCTAACACTGCTTCTTTGGACAGATTGCCTCCATTGTATTTTCTTGTCTTTGTTTGTTTAGCTGTAACTTAGATAACAATGACACAACACTGACAACAGAATTATTGCCAGCCCTTAGGTGTGACTAAGACTAAGCCTCACATATATTTGCCAGCTTCCATAGCTCAGTGGTTAGAGCACTGGTCTTCAGGTACCTGAGCCCCTTTCAGACAGCAGTTAGTATCAGGTCACACACAGATGTGTTGGTGACTCCATCTGAAGCATATTACATGAGCAGTGTGAATAGAAATTGAAACAGTGGATTAATCACACTATTCAGTTCAATTCAACCCCTGAGTATCAGATCCCATTTC